TAAATCGTGTAAAACCCAAAACCCCAAAACCCCAAAACCCCAAAACCCCGACAGATGTAATATGATTTAATTTTACGTAATTTATTATGAAAATTGATAGCATATATATTATTTTATAGTAAGTAAACATCGTCGTGATTACGGTAGGTTGTGGCATTTACACGATTTACCGAGAGTTATTAATATAAAAAGTTTAATACTATTTGATCCAATTCATGAATCAACTTTGAGATCTCTGAACTCATTCGGACTATTTCGAATTCAGATCAATCTCTTGATGGAATCAGGTATGTACTTTGTAACTAATTTTCTTATCGCAAGCATAACTAGCAAAATAACAACAGTCCAAGCAGTTTAGGTTAAATAAGGTTTATAATTTCTAATAAATGCTTTTAGACTCATGAGTATTCTCAAAATAATGCTTGAACTTTGAATCCTCGAATTTCCCTTCAAGATTTGGTTTTCCTAATCTTATTCGCCATTAATTTTAATCATAGAAGGAGAAGCTGGGTGTTAAAGAGATATGCCATTTCTTTGTAGAAGCGGAATTTATTCTGTGGAATTACTATTACTGTGGGTTGTACCACTTCCAACACTTTGCATAGTGCTTGAGCGAGTTTATTCGTACTTATCATTTTATTGTGGGATTTGCAATTACTTATTTTATGGATATACAGTTTATTATTCATTTTAATTCTCTTCTAAGTAGTCTTAGTATTGCTGTTTGAGTTCTGGATAGTTTGATTCTAATTTGGCAATAAATTTCGTAAAAACATCACTATCTGGCTAAAGTTTTAATGCAGTACTGAGATCGATGTAGCATTTCAGTATTTGATTTCTGTTATAATGTGCCTTCGCTCTCAAGTTAAGTGCCTTTACGTTGTCCTATTCGCAAAGCAATAACTCATTCATTAGTTGAATAGCTGAATCAAACTGATTAATTTTGATATAGCAACTGGCACTATAGAGATAACACTCCTTAATCAGCTGAAATATCTCTTCGTTCTATAGCTTCACATCCTCTGTAAGCTATTCAATTTTGAAGACTTTAACTGATTTATGAAGAAAGGTAAGAGAATCGAAGTAATCCTCATTTTTATAATAAGCAAGTGCCTTTTTCTTGTAAGTTTTTGCTTATTCAATTTTCTTTAATTATATTTCAAGAACGTCTTAACTGAATAGGCGGGGTCTTACATTTCTAAGCTAATATGACTCTTGTCTGACAACAGCGGTTCCACGCCTCTGCCTTAAGTTGTCTGAATCCGAACTTTTTTCATCGAATCTCCCTGTTTAGTCTTTTGTCGGACTTAAAGAGAGTGCAATTTGCTAAATATTTTAAAGTGCGTCATCAAGTCTTGTTTAAATTTTGGGAGCTGGTTTTGAATCAGCATTGTTACTTAAGTTGTCTGGAGATCCTAACTCTGATAGTGAAAGAGAATTTCTTTGAGAGGATTAAGGTGAGATACTATTCGCAGTACTTTCATGAAGTCCTAGTGCTGAGTTCAAAGTTTCTTTTATTTAATCACCTGATTGCATATTGTTCGACTCTTAAAGTTTATTCTTAATGAAGATAATAATTTACTAAAGAATGCATGCCCTTAGTATTTAATGAAATATTTATAGCGGTGACGTCGATACATTAAAACATTAATGAGCGATAATAATCTAATATCGATTCCTTAAATAGCTAATTAATGAATCTCACGGGGTTTTGGGGTTTTGGGGAGATCGGAAGAGCACACGTCTGA